TGATGTAGATGTTAATACTAAGAACTGAGCAAATTAAAATGGTGAAACAGTCCCAGGGAAATCACCATTTTTCCCACACGAGCCGACCTCCAATCTCCGTGCCCCTCCCCTCCGGGAAATCCAGGAAGGAACTCTCTCTACTTCTCTAGACAAACTATTTCCTGGAGCTCTATGGTACTGGGTCATCTTTTCTTATAAAAGTAAGTAAAATGGGCGGGGGGGGGTGTCCGTTTTCTTGCTTTAACGTTTTATCTTCAATGAAAGTACTGAGGCAGAGAGAGAGAGAGGATAGACAGAGTGTCTTTTGTCTTGCCCCAGTTAGGATTTCTTAAACAAATCCACTGGGCTTTCAACATGAAGCCAGAAAATTGGGACTTTTTAAAAACACCCCGGGACATGGGACAAATTGTTATAAATCATGGCTGTCCTGCCAAAATCGGGACGTCTGGTCACTTTAGTGTTTACCTGTTAGAAACTCGGGTTTGGTCTATATCAATGCTATAGGTTCTGATGGTGAACCTATGGCATGCGTGCCACAGGTGGCACGCGGAGCCATTTCTGAGGGCACGCGAGGTGTTGCCCTGTCAGCTCCAGTGCACATGTGTGCGCTGGCCAGCTAATTTTTGGCCTTGATTTTCGACCATTTTTCTCCCTCTGGGGGCTTCAGGGAAGCCTTTGGAGGGAGACAAACGACCCAACAGACAACCCGGAAGTCCGTTCCCGAATTTCCAGTTTGCGTGTTGGACTGTTTTTCACCCTCCCCAGGCTCCTAGAAAGCCTCTGGAGCCTGGGGAGGGTGAAAAACAGATCTACCGGGCCCACCGGAAGTTGGAAAACAGGCCGTTCTTGGCCTCTGAATGGGCAGCGGAGGCTGTTTTCACCCTCCCCAGACTCCTAGAAAGCCCCTGGAGCCAGGGCAGGGTGAAAAACAGACCTACTGGAAGTTGGAAAATGGGCCGTTTCTGGCCTCCATTTTCACCCTACCCAAGCAAGCCATGTGCGCATGCGCGGAACAGTGGGGGATGTGCATTAAATTATGGGGGTGAGCATGGGAGCACACATGATAGCACCCATGCGTGTGCTTTTGGCACCCAAGTCAAAAAAGGTTTGCCATCACTGATCTATAATATTCACACATTATAAATACAATCTTCTATAGTTCAATAATCAAGAATATTTTGCAGAGACATTTTAAAAGAAAGGAAAATAATCAAGATTGCAAATAAAAATTCTTTCCCAACACTGATACTAAAAAAATGCAACGGACAAAAACTGAAGTCTTTTTCAAACAGAAATAAATACTAAGATGCATACTGAGCTGTGGCTTCTCCCCATAATTTAGGTCTCATAAACCTTAGAACTGAGGAATATAAGCTGATAATGAAAGTAATATTTTACCCCTACAAATCTGATCTAATCTGCAGCCATTTTAATAAAGTCACTACACTCTCGGTTTAACGTGCTTATATTTACGATTAAACAAATCAGGCATTTTCAGGCCTGCAAATCAAGGAATTCCAGCTGTAGTTTGGGTCTCTAAATTGCATTGTGTGGAAAACAGTTTGTATAGGACAGTTAGCTCTCCTCTATGTTTAATAGTGAGGCCCACATTTCAGAAATATGTAGAACTTCAAACAACCTTTCCCAGTATGCTATAGTAAATGACATTTCTTTGCAGATCAAAAAGCATAGTAATTATGTATCAACAAGCTGTTATAGGTGCCCAGAGCTGAGATATTTTAAAGTTTTCATATTAACAGCTGGTCTTAATTTTGTTTTCTTAACAAAAGGAGACATTGAATAGTTCCTCTAACATTGACCATTGTTATAAAAATATTCTTCTCTTCCTTTCTCTTTTCTCTTCTCTTCTATCCTGATTGCCTTGCTTGCATTTTCTCACTATAGTTCATGTTGTTGTAGTAATGCTCTCTTGAACCATATGACATTCAACCTTAACTAAAAACCTGGATATAACTTTCCTTGCAGCGTCCAGATCATTCAGCAGAGTAGCATTTTCCAATCCAATCCAATCCAATACATTGATCTGATCAGAATCCCTTCTAAGGAACCATGAATGACTGGGCCTCTCCTGGCACTATGGCTGCTTGTGGTGATACCTTTGTGAAAGGAGCTGGTTTTGGACAGAAACATGTTCTCAACTAATAGCTGAAGAGAAATTCTTGATATGTAACTGTTCAGAATGTTCTTCCTCCCTGCATTAAGTTCTGCTTTGCATTCACGTCCTTCCACAAAGCAGAAGGCTGAGCTAACTTCTGTAAGCTTAAGAGACCAAGGTCTGAACTCTAAAGCAGCAAAACCAAGAACCAAGCATGTTATTTGCTAAAGATGCTACTGCTTTTGTGTCAAATGATACAAAACAGGCAGACAAACAGTGTTGGTAAAATTATTGTTCTATCAAGTTCTAGATACATACACATACAGAAATTTCAATTTGTCAATCAAACTCACTAGTGAGTATAACTTGTAAATCTGGAATTAAGACATAATTTAAAATAGTGAATTTTGCCTTTTACTTTGTGACACAGTGAAAGAAATATATCTAGAATGGCAGGATTAAAGGAGAGTAAACTAGCCAGCTTTGAAAAGTTAAAATCATTGCAGCATCTAACTGTATTCCTAGATTATTAGAAGATGAAAAGTCCTCACAAATAGTACAGACCAAATATTCTACTGTTTCTTAAGCAGAGTTAAACCAGAGACAAGTTTTAAAAAATCCAGAAGTGATTAAAAACAATCCAATGATAATTTGTGCTGATATGACCCCACAAACAATACATATTCTGATTAATTACCACTCTATGTTACACTCCCACCCCCCTGCTTTGGTGGCTAAAAGAAGAGTACAATTGTTTTCTGAAGTCATTTTCCTGCAGGGATAAGAACACCTTTTGCTAAGAAAAAGGCTTTGTGAAAGCAACGAGGGTCCACAGAGGATTAGCTTTGCCTCCCTATAACTGAACATCCAAGCAAAATTTCCCATCTGTTTGTGCTGAAATAAAATTTGCTTCTCTTGATAAACAACAGTGTTTCTAAACTTGCTTGTCCTCTGATAATTATTAAGATAAAATCACAAAATGGGCAGGAATACAAAGTTGTATTGAGCTTACCTGCAAAACACAGAGATCAATACACTTTTAGAGTGAAAAGGGTAAAATGAAGATTGTTATCCTTTGGTTTCAAGAGAGAGTCTGCATCTTCAGGGAGAAAGGGTTTCTTTCTGTTTCTCCGTTTTTGAGTGAAGGGAAGGAGGCGCTTTTTTCAGCTCTATACTGTAACTTTTCTGATGGAAAGTAACAGCCTACTTCTTAATTCTCCTCCTTCGAGTCTTCCCTTGAAAGAAAGCTCCGAGCAGCGTAGTCACTTATCGGTTATCCACCAGGTAGCGCTGTGGGTCCATCAATCGGGAAAGGGCGGGGTACGCAGTTCCTGGATCTCCCTTCTTCAGAGCAGGAGTTGGTGGGACGGGAATGAAGGCAGGCGGGGGTGGAGGAGGGCTGAATTTTTGAGTGAGTTACAAAGCCACGACAGGAGTGACCGCCTTTGGATGACAGAGGCTTGTGAAAGAGTCGGTTATGTTGCCCTCGTTAACGTGCTTGCTTCCTGCTATGTCTGTACTGTACAGAATTCCACCCCCCCCCACTCCCTCCCCCGTTGAACTTACGGAGGGGGGGAGATTTTGTAAAATTGCTCAAAACGAAGCCTCAGACTTAAACAGCAGCCTAACTGCTATTTTCAAATCAATTCTTCTGATACTTTCTGATTCCAGAGTTTAACTGGTGTAAAAGGGGCACGAGACAAGCAAAATAAAAATTAACATCATCAACAATAAAGAATAATAAGTGCAGGAAAAATGAACGGTTCTTTGCAGGCATAACCTTAGACAATGAATCCAATCCAATAAGGCGGAAACCAAGCCTCTGTTTCAAATTAGTGAAATGGCTGGCAATCGACTCTCATCTTCTCCATTTCCCTGCCATAAATTCTGTGGAGCAATTGTTGTTTCCCAAATGGATCCTTGCACTCTGTTCAATTCCACTATTTGATATCCTATCTCTAAAATATACCATTCACTTCTTTTCAATTTCAACTGAAATTATTTCAGTCTTCAATTTGTTTTGCTGGAGTCTCTTTAGCGCTCTTCAACCACTGTCAAAACAATGCAATAGTTTAACAGAATAACAAGAATTGGAAGGGACCTTGGAGGTCTTCTAGTTCAACCTGCCTGTTCAAGCAGGAGACCCTCTATCAGGGGTGTGAAACTGAATTTCTTCAAGGGCTGGATCAACATTGTAGTTCTCTACAGGTGGGGGGGGGGAAGAGCGGGTAGAGACAGGACAGACGCCCCCTGCAGCACTTTACTGGCCAAAATGGGGTATGGGGGCGCAATGCACCTCCCACCTCATTTTTGCCCTCCATAATGTCCTGCAACACTCTCGGGCGAAAATGGGCCACACTGAGGCCTCAGGAGGCTCCCTGCGACCTGTTTTTGGCCTCCCTGGCCTCCAGGAGCATTCGGGTGGCTAAAAACGAGGGGGCCTCAGGGATTTTTTGCTGGCAGAGTGCTGCAGGAGGCTGTGGAGGCCAAAAATGGGCCGCAGAAGCCCCTCATGTGGCCCATTTTGGTCAGCAGAGGTACCGTGGACCACTCCTTTGATATTTCCAGGCCAGCTCCATGGGCTGGATTTAGGCACCCCACAGGCTGGATCTGGCCCACAGGTCTTGAGTTTGAGTTTGACATCCCTGCCCTATATCATTTCAGACAAATGGCTGTCCAGTCTCTTCTTAAAAGCCTCAAGTGATGGGGCACCCACAACTTCTGAAGGCAAGTCATTCCTGGTTAATTGTTCTCACTATTAGGAAAACAATTTCATTAAAAGCACTCTGCATTGTCTCTGCCTTTTAACATCTTAGCCATTTCTTTTGCTATTGACCACATTCCTTTTTCTGACTAAGTATTTTATACAGAATCTATGTTTCAGACTTTTTTTTGCAACAGTCACTCTATCCTGTCCAAAAAGTAAAGATAGGGACAAAGGTGTGATCAAAATTCTATGTTTGTCAGATCACAAAGGCATACTTTCTACCTTGGCTTTTTGCCTGCTCCCTGAAAATGCCCTTGATACACAAGTGCAATGCTAACACTAAGTATCATCAAATAGCAATACAATTGGGCGTCTTGAGAAGTTTGCGCAGAGATGACAGTCTCTTTGTACAATACCAACCTCTGCAAATGGATCCTTCAAGAGACAATAGATGTCAAAAGCACTGTACATTTTTACCATAACCAACTCTGTCCTGTTCCTTACTAAAAATTGCTCACAGCCATTTATACATTACTAAAACTCTTGTAGATGTTTGTCTGCTTGTAATCTTCAATTGGATGAAACGGTGCATCACAAAGCAACAATTTTTGAATGAAGATAAATGGGCCAACCCCCATTTATGGGAAGAGTGCATAGGGTGCATGAGAGGCGCTTGTGGGTCAGAGGGTGTTCAGGGATGCTAGGTGGTATGTGAGAGATACTGCTTTATGAGGGACACTGCATGGGTCAGGGAAAGTACACGAGGGATAACTTGGGATGGAGCCGACCTATATATGAATTGCAACAGAGGCAGCTTGTCTGCATTTTGACACTTCACCACATTTTAGCAAACATCTAAGAAATGCAATCTATCTAAATTTTATTGAGGTACAATATTGTATAAATTGTATCTTCTTTGGATGACAAACAAGGGATTAAGAAGTTGATAATGTTTCCCTGCAAATATATATTTTAAAAAATAGTGTTTATACTAAGGTCATTCCATTGGGACACAAAAGCAACTGAATCCTTTAAGAGTGACCTAACAGGCAATATAAAGTCATGGGGATTCTTTTGAAATAGTTTTGAATAACCTTGCTTGGAAATTTATACTTTTAAATATGAAATCTTTAAGCCATTAATGGACAATTTATTAATTAAAATAAGCAAACATGTTCTGCACAAATGATACCACTGTAGACACATTTTGAGAATTGCAATATTTATATGAAGACACTTAACATCTATGTGTACTGTTCACTTAGATATCTCTCATTTTGTAGAATTCTTTATTGCCTGGAATCCCATTTAGATTATTTTTTTTAATTTTTCAGGCCAGAGTGAATATCTGAATTTCTCTACAATATGGGTTTCAAACTCGATTGCATCACGTGACATCACGTGATGTATCACAACTTTTGTCTTTGTACAGCTGAGTGGGCATGGCCTATGCATGATATATCCATTCCGTGGGCCGCCAGTTTGACACCCCTGCTCTACAGGCTTATTTAAGCAGTTAGGTCTTTGTTTCCTCCCCTACTTACTGTATTGCTCCCCTCATTGTTCTGTGCACCTTCGGCATTTAGTCATGCCAGCCACATGACCACGGAGACGTCTTCGGACAGCGC